GACTGCTTCCAGGGCTCCTGTCAGGCCAGAGAGAGCTGATTTCCTCTGGCATGGTCATTACCTCCTTTTCCATTTCCCTTTGCATCCTCCTCATCCCAAGCTCACACTTCAGCTTCTAAGTAATGAAATGTGGCTGTTGGCTGTACAAACAGCTGTCAGATCGCTCATTTCTCTGGAGGAAGGATATTGGATGCAGTGCTGGAGACGACAGGTGAGAGGAGAGGGCAGGGTGAGCTGAGAGAAAGGCACAGGCTAGCGAGAGCCCAGGAGAGAGTGCCAAGCACCAAGTTTCCAGGGTTTGGCTGAGATTCGCGCAGGATGCTCTTTCTGGCTGAGGCTCCTGGTGCTTTCCCCTGCTCTGACAAGCAGCAGACAGACCAGACATCCCACAACCATCACACACGGACATGACCTGATCCCTCACTCCTCGAGTCCCACCCTGGATGGGCTTCAGGGAGGGCTGTGTGTAGCACCTTAGAGCGGGCAGTCTCTGCCCGATACATCCTCCATGCCCCATCTTCCATCCCTCCCGCCTTGCTCCCACTCCCTTCCACACCCCCTCCCACAAGGCCAAGACCAGCGTTGGTCCAAGAATCCGCCCGCAATTAGGTGGCCAAATAAAGAGCAGCTTCCGGTGGATGAAGGTCCCAGCAGATCGAAAATGTGTAGTGTTAGTGCGGCTGCCAGCAGTACACCTCGCTCCCCTGGCTGCACAATCACCGGCTGCCTTTCACCCATCCTGCGTAGGAGAGCATAGGACTAGGGCTGCAGCTTAGGCACCCAGGGTAGAGTGAGGGCCGACTCACAAGCGTGCCTCCCTCACCAGAGCAGGACAGCGGTATCCAAGGTGCCTGCAGAAGGGAGAAAGTGGGATCTGGGCCTCAGGCCACCCTGAGAAGACTGAAGGCTAGAGGCAGGGTGCCTTCCATTGTGGAAGCTGGGCCAAGAGCGCCTTTTCCTGAGAGACTGGAAGAGAAGGGAATGCCTTAGGGTCTCCTACCTTAGCGAGTGGAACTAGGCCCAGGACCACCCCTCTTAGGAGAACTGAGGATCTGTAGCCCAGTGTGCCTCCTTTTGGAACAAAATGACACTTCGATTCTAACCTTGATCTCTTGAATGAAATGCAACCATACATATCCAATCAAGAGGAGTTCCAAGTCCGGGTGAAACAGAGTAGAGTCTAAAGGAAGTTCAAGGAGTCCAGGTTTTAATGTGCCGGCTGACAAGTCAACAGCTCAATCTGACAATTCATGCTCAAGGCAGGGGAAGCCTGGCTCTCGCAGCCCAGGCTGAAGAGCCCTCCTGGCAGGAGGCAGAGGTAGGCAGCAGTGACAAACAACTGGCATGGGCAGGGTCCTGACTGCATCAACTCTCTGCTAGGATTAAGCAATTAAAGTGTGAGATGTCACGAAAGGGTGTAGATGGATAGGCACTAAAACAAGACTCTTGGGCATGAGCTCAGAGGAATTTTGTGACTGTTCACACAGAAATCATGCTTGTGGCAGGGACTGCTAGGTGTGTACAGCCATTGGGCTCATTGGCCATGTGCCAGGGATGATTTTGTCAGTGGATTCATGAGCTCAGAGTGTCTAAGGATGAGCCACTAGCCCTCCTTGAGGGTCAGCCCCCTTCTCAGTTTGCTGTCAGTTCTATCTCCAGTTCTGGAGGAAATGGCAGTGCACGTAGTGACAGGTGAGGCACAGGACTGGGGTAATGTGACATAAGTTAATTATGAGGGTACTGGCCAAGACAACTGTTTCCTTCTACCACTTCCACCTCATCTCTCCCCAAGCATCAAAAGTGGTGGGTTTCCCCCTCCCCGTAAAGATCCAGTTGTGAAATCTCAGGGTGGGAGAATGATTATAGAGTTCTTCATAGCAGAACACAGTCCCCAATATAAGATGTGATCCCAGACCACCTACTCTCCAGAGAGAAGATACATGTTGAACAGGCAGAACCCTGACCTTTTTGGACTTCAGATTCAGTTAGTTTCTAGTTATAATTCCTCTCCCTGATGCCTGGCTTTCTTCACCTGGCTTTGCTTCCACGCTTCTTCTTTCTCAAACCATTAAGAAGTTAAGCCTGGTCACATTCTCAGTTCTGAATTTCCTGGGCCTACAGAACAGAGTTGAAATAACTCTAGGCCTCTGACCTTTGTTTTACTTACAGAGTTTTTAAGGCACTTTTCCCTCTTCTTTTGCTCTGACAGCTGGGTTACCCTTGGACTCCTTGTGTCTTTATCTCTTCCCCCCAATCTGCATGCCTGCATGTTTTCACTTTTAGAGATCTCCTCCAATTTTGTCTCTCAACACTTTGGAAAAGTCTTTGTTCCTTTTGGACTCTGCCTTCTGGGAATAACCAGTGTAACAATGATGCCCATAGGGATTGCGGCTGAGGGAGAAGAGGCCAAGAGGGAACAGAAAGGTTAAGAGAGATCGGCCACAGGCTGAGGTAGCAACCAGAGCTGTAGCCTGGGTCTCTGTACTCTTACCCAACCAACCCGTGCCCAGTTGCAGGTCAGCGCGCCTTCCTCGGCCCTCAGACTGTTGTAACCCAAAAATCAAAAACTGGACTCAAACTTAAAAGCACTTTATTTAGCTGAGCTCAGCGGTGGCACTGTACTCTCATCTCCAGGTAGGTGCACGCTTAGTCTAGTTGAGGCAGTTTTTAAACAGAAAAACCACAAGTGGAGGGGGAGGAGGGGGATTCTACAAAGCTTATTTTGAGTTAGCCATGATGAGGGTTAACTCTTTGTTCCCATAGACAGGTCACATTTTGCAAACCCTACAGGAATATGTCCTTATTTGGCTTAGGCGTTGTTTACGTTCCGGTAGTGGGAAGGACATCAGATGACAGTTTCACCCATTTTCAAGTTATCTGTTTGTTCCCATAGAAAGGACAGTTTAACTCATTTTGCAGAATGTTGAGGAACATTTCTTCTCTCGGAATACTGGGAAACACTTTCTTTAAACATATTCTTCAGGGAAGGCATGGGTGGGGGGGTTTTACAAAACAAATCAAGGTGTTACAAAAGGAAGTTACAAAGCTTGTTACAAGATGGAGTTTAAGTTGTCAGCTTATACCAAATAGTCCTTGTTAATAAAGTTACTGTGGAACCATAGAGTTACAAAATTGGAATCAATGGCACAGGTTATAACACAGACCTTGCCCCACCTTCCCGTGTTCAACATGTCAGATCTCCCTATCCCCCACCCCGCACCAGTTTATAAATCAACAATTTTGGGAAAATAATCCTGGCCGAGTGACAGCGCATAATTGTGACAAGGTGCTGGTGGCTGGAGAGCGCTCTAGGGTGGGAGCAGAGGGGCAGGCGCGTGTCCCTCACCCGCTGGTCACCTCCCATCGCCCTCTTCCACCCTGCTCCAGTCCCGAGGTCCCCGCGTCCCTTCCCTGTGCGCTTTCCCTGCTCACTTCGCCCTCTTCCCTCCGCCCTCCACCAATTTCTTCATCTTTTCCTCGTGCTTAGAGGGCCCTTGGACCCAGGCTATGCCTGCATAGCCCGCTTCTCGCGCTCCCGGACCTCACGGGCACAGCCGAGCCCCGAGCCCCTCCACTGTTCTGTGACGCCAGCGCAGCCCGGCTCTCCGGAGCCAGCCGCGCCCGGCTGGGCACTGGCCCTGCCCTCTCCCGCCACCCGGTGTCGTCCTGGTACCATCCCGCACCCACGCTGCGCAGTGGCCCTGTCCCGGGAGGCTTCGCCGGTGCCGCGCAGGCCCAGCCAGGTCCCATTCCTGGCGCAGCGCCGGGGCCCAGGTCCTAGCCCGCGGCTCTTCCTCCCCAGCCAGGACGGCAAAAGCTTGACAAATGAGCGGATCCGGCAGAAGGCCCCTGGGCTCCCCTCGCTCAAGTCGACTAGGAGATCTTGCAGCAGAGGAAAATGAGCCCCGGGAGGCGGCGTGACTTAGCCAAGCTCACACCCTGAGCCCGGGTTTAGAGCCTGGGACAATGCAAGCGGAGACTGTTCGGCTCAGGTCCAGATGTGGAGTCCGCTCACCGAGGGTCCGAGGCTGGGGAGTGAGGCAGACTCGATGCGGCTCCCCTCCCGCCTCGTGTCGGGGGTTCCTCCGCCGTAGGAACTGGAAGTGGGACCATCCGAAGCCTCCTGGAAGGGACACCAAGCGCGGACACAGACGGCGCCGTCTCCCATTGGTAGAGATACGAAGAGGCAATCTGTTGTAACCCAAAAATCGAAAACCGGACTCAACTTAAAAGCGCTTTATTTAGCTGAGCTCAGCGGCGGCACATACTCTCGTCTCCAAGTGTGTGCGCGCAGAGGTGGGGAGAGAGAGACAAGGGTTTTTAAAGCTGAAAACCGCAAAGGCGGAGGTCTTGTGGCTTGAGCGCGAGGGACAGGCAGCACAGAGGTCAGGGTCCGCTTCCGGAAAGCAGGTTACATTCTTTCAACCTGCGGTTACAATTTTTCAGGAACAAACAAATTTTATGGCATGGTGTTGATCGAGGGATGTCACAAGTTGGATATCGAGATAATTTTGGGGATGGGGGTTCTATCCTAGAACAAATAGTCATTACTTTAGGATATGGGGGATGATCACAGGATACATCGTGCAGATTGCTTTTAACAATCTGTGGTCAAGAACAAAGGAACAGTTTGAACATTAACAAACTGTGTTCAGAGGCCTGGGGGATGGCCTGAGTCACCAAAATGGAGTCTAGTTGTCAGCTTATAACAAACAGGTCTTGATAACGAGGTCACAGTGGAAACGTACAGAGGTGTATAATAGAATGGCTATTCTGGTTACAAAATGGAGTCAATCGCATAGGTTATAACAGAAACGAACAGAGTTGTATAACAAAAGAGCTGTTCTAGTTCCAAAATGGAGACGGTTACATAGGTTATAACACAATCAAAACCTTTTTCCCCCCTCTTAATTTCAGACCCACTGCTGGGAGAGCGACCCTACTCTTGCCAGACAACCTCCAGGTAGGAACCGCTCTGGGATGCTGCTGAGGCGCGGGAGATGTGCCTGGGACGCTGCCCGGCTCACGCTTCCGTGCTCGGCAGCACCACCTGGCGGCCGCAGTGCAGTGCCGCGCTGCAGGATGAGCGCCTGACAGCAGGCAGGAGGACTGCAGCGGGAGGCCGAGCAAAGCCTGTCCTGGAGCGCGGCACCCTGAGAGCGCAATCTAGAGGGGCCGGGGGGAGTGAAGGGGCCTGGGCTGGAGAGTCCTGACTTACGTGAAAGAGCAGACACTGAGAGGTGAGGTCCGCTTGGATGAAGTGGGACCCGAGGACGAGGGCCTTTTGACCGCAGTTGAAGGGAAGGCCTGCTCCCGGGTCTGGGCTACCCTCCCACGGCAGGCCGGGTGGGCTGGCTTCGGTGGGCTCGGAGGTGCTGGCCGGCCACGTGGGGGCGGTATCCCCAGCCTGCCTCGGAAAGGGTTGAGCCGCGGGAACTGAGGTCCAGAGCAAGGCGTTTTCCAAAATGTTTAAGCAGAGGGAATTCAGGATGCCTTTGTAGTTTGACTTGTGGTAAAAGTTGCACTAGGGTACAACTAGCTTTTCAACCACACTCAGGTAGATCTGGACTTGACTTTTATTAGAAGGGGAAATGGCTACTGTGTTGGGACTTGAATAGAGCCTTAACATTATCATTCTCCCCCAGCATCTTAGGGTCTAAGGAGAGCTCTGGGGACATGCTGGCCATGATTCCCACAGAGGACTCTGAGTTTTCTGCACCTTGAGCAATGTTTTGTTCAGAGACTCCTGCCCTAGACCAAGGCTAAGGGGCTCCTGGTGGCCTATGTTCTCTAGGCCCTGGGGAGCCCTGTCGGCCTCCACCATCTATCTATACCTGGAAAGGGACAGCCATGCCTTGCTGTAGGTGCTTACCCTAGTGATACAGGGGAATGAAACTCCCAACCTGAAAGGTACCTGGGATGAGTTTGTGTTCTCTAAAACCAAAGAATGAAGTTTAGGCACAAACAGAGGTTAAGAGCATAATATTTATTGTAGAAAGAAAGCTTCTATCTGAGAGAGGGACAGAAGGGAGGCCCAAGCCGATTGTCTCTGGGAAGCAGTCTCCAGATTCCAAGGACTTTCATAGAGTAAAACCATATGGTGAGGTGAGTCTAACACGGAAACCATGGAAACTCCCTTAGGTGGGCCTGGGGTGGGATAAAACTATTGTCAACCAATGAGATTACAGGCACCATTGCTCAGGTGAAAGTGAGTCATGTAGCAAGCGGGCACCAATATAGAACAAGAGTTTACCCAGTAGCCATCTGGTAGCAGTTGGATTAGTGACTTTCTGGGTTCCTCAAGGTGGTGATCAATCCCGGATGCTTATCTTTAGGGAAGTAACCATTTGTTCAATCTTTGTTTTGTTTTGTTTTTTTTCCTCTCTTCTGTATTTTAGGGAAGGGTCTACAGGGTGGTCAGGGTCTCACTACTAGATCAGACTTGTAGTGATTCTCCTGTTTACAGCCTCCCAAGAGCTGGGATTACAGGCGCGCGCCACCACGCCCCGTCTTGATTGTGCCATCCTGGCTGCTCTCGGGGCAGGGCCAGCGCCAGCACTGCAGGCCCAGGAATTGAACCCTGGCCCCTGCACCTGGCGCTTTAATCCTTTAATCTGCTGAGCTATTTGGCCGGCCCCTATCTTTGGTCTTTAGACCTGGCCCACAGCAGGAGCTACCATCTCTCTCACAGTTGCAACATATCTTGTCTTTTGTGCTGTCTCCTTGAGGGCCTGGCCCTGTCTCACCGCCTATAATATTTTTATCTAATTTAGCAGCCTACAAAACTAGGGGGCGGTAGGCTAGGTTGAGTTCTAGAAGCTTCCAAGACTTGTAGCTGAATCCAACAGGGCCTGGAGGCAGAAGCAGAAGCCAGGAGACACTCCACCACCACCCAGCCCCAGTCTCATTCGCTTTGCAACTCAGATGATAGTGCGCAGCTATCTTGGCCTTGTAGCTCTGATTAGTCCTTCTCCCATGGCCAACTTCTATACTGTAGACCTCCCACTGTCAGTTGGTTAAAGGTCTTGCTGATAGCTGCTTATGGCAACCAGACTTCAGACTTTAAGAGCACTCTAGGTGTGGCATTCCTTACTTCCCCTGTCTTCTATGGCCACCCCACAGCCCTTCTGCCCAGCAGCTTGGCTGCCAGCATCACAGCCCAGAAGCACTGTAGATACAAACCCTCAGCAGAGTTGGAAACTCTTAGTGTGTGGCTCTACAGGTGGACTTGGCCTACCTCACTTTCAGAGGCCTGCTGGCATACAGTGCCTTGTGTCACACAGCTGCCACCTTCCACTATGTGACAGAAACCCCGAGCTCCTTCTTGAGTGGGCACAGCTTCTTTTCCCTTCCAGGCCATCTTGTTGATAGGTTTTTCCCAGGCATAGTAAAGAGATAGGAAAGATAAAACAAGCATCTATGAACTCCAAAGGCACAGGAGAAGAGGCTGGAGGGCAGATGGGGCAGATAGATCCTCTGACTTGAGACAAAGAAAGGTGAGGTTTTTATGAACTTTTGCTAAGGGTAGAGTTTGAGAGGGATGCTTAGAAATATCTGAGGAGCTGACGGGTCTTCCCTGATGTGGTAGGGAAGGTACAAGGAAATTGCACCTTGGGCTGGCTTGGAGAAGAGGGGAGGTGGTCTCTGGGGAGATAAGCTGTTGTTTTAAGGGCTTCTGCCATATTAGATGACCACTACAATAATTCAGCAATTTCTACTATCCTTCATCAAGTCCCTCCTCCCACATTTTTGGATCTGGTGGCTCCTGGCTGGGAATCCTGGACTCCACAGCAGCTACTTCCAGGCATGAGAGTTCTGTGAATTTCTTCACAGCTTTCAGAATGAGAAGCATCAGCTGGCTTACCAGGTGAGGCTTTCTTCCCTCTCCTTCCTGCCTGAGACAGCTCTGGGGTAAGGACTGATGGTTCAGGCCCTAGTGTTAATTGCTACAATCATTGTGGTAATCATCTAATATGGCCCATTCCCTTAAAACAAAGGCCCATGTTCCCAGGACCACCTCCCCCTTCTTCAATTTAACCCAAAGCATAATTTATTTTCACTCTTTCTGTCACCTCAGGTAAGACCCCCAATCAGCTCCCTCAGATATGTCTGAGCAGGCCCTTCAAACCCCTCACCTCAGCCTTCCTTTTGCCAGAGGAGTTCAGAGAATTCTCTCCATGTCCTCAAAGAAAATAAAGCCCCTTTCCCTTTTTCCTTCTGTCTGTTTCTCTGCTGTGCCAGTCACCTGAAAAACACCTAATGAGGCTATCTCCCAGGCGGAAGTGCCATTCTCATGTCTATTGGCCCACTCCTGGAAGCGAGTCCTGACCTCTTTGTGCTTCTGTGTGCAATGGGTGAAGTGCAGACACTGACAGTAAGAGGGAGACATATGTGTATGGCTCTTGAGATATGACACATGTAGTGATACCAGTCAGAAGCTTACTGTACCACAGAGCCTAAGGAAACTGCCCCTAGTAATTCCTGCAGGCTGGAGACAAGGTGACAGATTCCTGTTCTTTGTTCCTTTACCTGGGAAGTCACCAACTAGTGATATGTAAACTTAGACTTTGGTGAATGCCAGAAGGCAAAAGGCGAAGCAAATAACAGCTTGTCTACACCAAATTAGTTATGCACATTCCCTAGCCTGTTTGTAGCCTTCAATCAATGTGAGAAGTTCTGATGGCTCCGGGCTCACTTAGCAACTGAACTCACCTTTGAGGCTATATTAACAGACATATATAACTTACATCAACTTTATGGGTTTACCACTCAGACCAGGGTAGGACACACTGAGAAGCTTTTTTTTTTTTTTTTTTTTTTTTTTTGGTGGAACCAGGGATTGAACTCAGGCCCTCAACTGAGCCATCTTCCTGGCCCTACTCAGAAACTTTCATGGTCCTTCCAGTCTATAGTCCCCTCAGAGGTAACTTCTTTTTTTTTCTTTTTTTTTTTTTTTTTTTTTTGCGGAACAGGGGATTGAACTCAGACCCTTACACTTGCCAGGGAAGTGCTTATTCTACTGAGCCATCTCCCTGGCCCCTAAGTAACCTCTATTCTGACTTACATCACTGTAGACTGTGTCTGTTATGCCCAGCAACCAGTATATATTCTTTTGTGTTCATCTTTCATTTAGCATTATAAAGCTTATTCATACTTGTATGCAATTGTAAATAGTCTATTTTCACTGTTCTATAGTATCCTACTTTAGCACTATGCCACGATTTCTTCATCCTGTTAATATTTGAGTTGTTTCTGCTTCAGGACTGTCGGCTGGGCAAGGCACATACCCATAATGGGCCACATAGTGAATTCAAGGCCAGCTACCTAGTAAGGCCCTGTCTCACAGGGACCAGGGATTTAGCTCAGCAGTGCAGTGCCTACCTGGCAAGCGCAAGGTCTTGAATTCAATTCCCTGTCAAAAAAAAGATCCCATCTTGGAAAAAAATTCTGGTTTAGAAGAATTAAAAATAACACTCCTAACATTTTGGATGAAAACTCCTATAAATATTCTTGTACACATCTTTTGTAGACATGTATACACATACTTCTATAGGGAGAAAATGTTGGGATATGAAGTTTTAAGGTTAGAAAATGTGTGTTTGTTGATAGGTACTTGGTGCAGCAGAGAAACAGGCAGAAGGAAAAAGGGAAAGGGACCTTATTTTCTTTGAGGACACAGAGAGAATTTGGGGAAGATAAGAAATTCTCTGGACTAGACAAAGGGAGTCTGAAGCTTTTATGGTCTTTTTTTGGGGGGGTAGTTTGAAGGAGATGTTTAGATATACCTGAGAGGGGCTGGGGATTTGGCTCAGCGGTAGAATGTTTGCCTAGCAAGCTGGAAGCCCTGGGTTCCATCCTTGGCACCAAAAACAAAAAATAAATCTTCCCCAGATATACCTGAGAGAGCTGATTAGGGGTCCTCCCTGATACAGCAGGAAGGGTGAAAGGAAACTGCACCCTGGGCTGAGTTGGAGAAGAAGGAGGAAGGTGGTCTGGTGAAAGATGGGCTTTTGTTTTAAGGGCTTCAGCCATATTAGATTGTTATGGGTCACTCAGAATAGAAACCAGATCAGCCAGGTTGGAACTTGGAAAGCAGTTTATTACTGAGCTCAGAGCCCCCCAGTCTGCTCTCACGCAGGAGAGGACCGAAAGGCGGTGGCCCAGGAAGCAGGGAGAGGTTTTAAACCCTGGAACCACATTGAGTTTGATAAGCAAATTCATTGAATGACCACATTCAGTTTGGTAAACAAATTCATTGTCTGACACAAAATAATGCTTTCAGAGTGATTGGGACCACAACTCAAACTACATTTTGGGGGCTTTTGTTTCAGTTTCTGGTTAATTTGCACCTGAGTACCTGCAGGCAGCCTTGCATAGCCCGGAGGTTACAAGAAGTTAAAGCCCATCTAATTTCCTTTTGAAGTCATCTCTGTAAGCTAACTTTGGTAACAGGAATTGGTGAGGGTTACAAGAATTTTATCTTAGCAAAGAGCAAGAAACAGCCACTAGTTACTAAACAACTTAGAACAGTGGTGAGTATACATTTACAACAGAAAGCACAAGATTTACATTTATAATCTAAAACGTGAGTTGACTCATTACAAGATGACCACCATAATGATTTAGCAATTTATACCAGGGCCAGAACCTATCACTCCCAAGTGCTGAGATTACAGGTGTACACAATGCCAAGTTTAATTTATTGATCTCTTTGTCCCTAAGGTTTTAGGCCTTTCAGAGAAGGCAACAAATGAAAAAGTATATGGTGTTACAAAACGCTAGTGAGAGTCTGGCACCCTGATCACAACCAGCAGCAGACCGGCGTCAGCTCAGGAGGTCTAGAGGGGCCCAGAGGTGAGAAGCAGCGTCCTCTGAGCATGGACTCTGCCCTGGAGAGCTGGGCTGCTCGTCCCAAGCCTGGCTTTGCCATAAGGGGCACCCCAGCAGTGTTAAAGAACTGCCTGCTTGTAGTGGAGATGAGGAAACCTTAATGAGGTGAGAAAGAAGGGTAGAAAATAGGCTTGTTATGAATTTCAAGATTCTTGGCTCTTGCACCCTTGACTATATTTTCTTAAAACCAGAGAGTAAAGAACATATTACAAATGAATACCTTTCCAGGGCCAGGGATATATATAGCTCAACAGCATAAATGCCTGTGTGGCAAGCATAAGGTCCTGAGTTCTATCCCTGGTACCACAAAAGTAAATAAACAAATAAATACTTTTCCAAGAATACAGCATCCTTTCTCCCCCACCCCCATGATCCTGGAAACAACACTGGGCTACACCCCAGCCTTTTTTCTTCTTTTCTTTTCTTTTTTCCTCCCTCCCTCCTGCCTTCCCTTCTTGCCTCCCTCCCTCCCTCCTTTCCTTCCTTCCTTCCTTCCTTCCTTCCTTCCTTCCTTCCTTCCTTCCTTCCTTTCTTCCTTCCTGTTCCTTTTATTTTATTTTGAGGTAAGAGCTTGCTGAATTGCCTAGGCTGATCTTAAATTTATGATCTTCCTGCCTCACTCTTCTAAAGGATGGGACTGAAAGATTCACTGTTCTATAGATTACCAGGTGGTGAGACTAGGGGTAGATTTCAAATTTTCAGAAAAACATTTTAATCCCATTTACAGAAGTTTCTAGCAGCTATGCTTTTTTTTCTAAGAAGAAGAAATATGCTGCAGTAGAGTAGTATTGTAGGGAGTGCTTAAAATTCACGAGTGAGCTGGGCCTGGTGGCACATGGCTGCCATAGTACCATTCTGGAGGCTGAGGGCAGGAGGATTATCATGAGGTTTTTTAAAATTTATTATTTATTTATTTTTTGGTGGAATGGGGATTGATCGAACTCAGGCCCTTGCACTTGCCAGGCAAGCATTTATTCTACTGAGCTATCTCCCCAGCCCTATCATGAGTTTTGAGGCCACTATGGGCTACATAATGAGTTCAAGACCAGCCTGAACTCTGTAGTGAGACTCTATCTCAAAAAGAAATTTATAGGGGTGGTTCGACCAGCTGAATTCTCAGACTTTCCCTACATTTTTTGTTGTTGTTGTTGTTGTTGTTTTGTTTCATTTCTTTCTGTTTTTTTGTTTTGGTTTGGTTTGGTTTTTTGAGACAGGGTCTTGCTCTGTAGCCTAGGCTGGCCTTGAACTTGCAGCAATTCTCCTGCCTCAGCCTCCAGTGCTATTATATATATAATAGTGCTATTATAGTCATGTGCCACCCTGCCTGGCCTTCCCTGAATGTCAGGTGTTGTTGTTTGTTGTTGTTGTTTATTTGTTTGTTTTTGTATTTTAGGACAGGGTCCACAGAATCTCACTACACAGATTGGACTTATAGTGATTCTTCTGTTTTCAGCCTCCCAAGTGCTGGGATTATGGGCCTGGCATGGCACGCCAGGGATTGAACCCTGGCCACTGTGTGAATGTGAAATTTGATTCTGAGCTATACACCTTATTTATTTATCTATTTTTATACACCTTATTTATGATATGATGGGTAACAATAACACAGGTACACAGATCCTGGAGTCCACCTTAGCAGTGTTACGTGAGCTATAAATGATGTTGTAGGACACTGGAAGATACCTATGATTTTATCTTCTGGAACTCATGCCAAGATTCATGATTTTATAAGTATCTCCATGGCACTCTGGAGAACCAGCACGCTGAGCATCTCAAGAGGGCCTTATTTAATTTGAGGGGCTTGCGGGTTAGCTCGGTTGTTTAAAGCGCCTCCTTGGGCAAACTCAGTCAGGGGCAGGGGACTGAAGTTCAGTCCTCAGCTCTGCATGCCACACTACACCTGCCCTAAGGCTGCCTGAGCCAGCCAAAGAAAAAAGAAGAAGTCTTTTAATTTGAGATAATCCTAGCCCTTAGGAGGCCAAGGCAGGAGGATTACTGAGTTTGAGGCCAGCCTAGGCCACATAGTGAGTTTAAAACCAGCCTGGAATATACAGTGAGACCCTGCACAAAAAGATAAAAGAAAACAAACGACAAGCATTAGCTAGGAGCAGTGGCACATGTTCCAGCACTTGGGAGGCTGAGGCAGGATGATCATAGTGAGTTTGAGGCCAGCCTGGACTATATAGTGAGATCTTGTCCCCAAAACAAAAACAGTGAAGCCAAACACCAAAACAAAACAAAAAACTTGCTAAAAACAACTTTTAAAAATTTTTCCAAGAGTCCAGGCAAACTGGCCCATGCCTGTAATCCCAACAATCAGGAAGCTGAGGCAGGAGAATTGCCAAGGCTAGCCTGGGCTACAAAGTGAGTTCTAGGCCAACCTGAACTACAGAGCAAGATGCTGTCTCAAAAAACAAAAGCAGGGGCCGGGGAGATGGCTCAGTGGAATAAGCGCTTCCCTGGCAAGTGCAAGGGCCTGAGTTCAATCCCCAATTCCGCAAAAAAAAAAAAAAAAAAAAAAGCAAAACAAGCAAAAACACTTTACAAAGAATTTACTTATATGCCGTGATTTCAAGACCAAATGAACAGGCCAAGGATACAGCTCAGAGGCACAGTGCCGGCCGGCAAGCACAAGGTCCTGAGCTCAATTCTTCCCCCACCCCCGCACAAATTAATTTTTACATCTTTTTAAATTGTCAGGGCAGGGGAGATAGCTCAGTAGGATAAGTGCTTGCCTGGCAAGTGCAAGGGCCTGAGTTCAATCCCCAGTTCCACAATAAATAAATAAAATAAATTGTCAAAAAATTATGTATATTTTCCTAGAAAATTTTGTCAAATTATCACTGGGAATTCTAATAAAGTACTTTCATAAACTATGAGTAATTTGTTAACATAATTTATAGCATTATCTCTTCAAAATATAAATTTATTTAAAAAAAAAAAATAGATGGGCATGGTGGTGCCTGCCTATAATCGCATGAGAGTGAGGCAGGAAGATCGCCATGAGTTTGAGGCCAGGCTGGGCTGCATTGTGAGCTCAGGGCCAGCCTGAGCTACATAGCAAGGCCTTGTCTCAGTCAATCAACCAGTACATCAATCAAATCATTTTTCAGAAAAGAGACAAAGTGATTAAGGGGTTTAGGGCTTTACTTAATTTAGAAAATTATTTTTTTCTCAAACTTTATTATGTGCACCCCCCCGCACCCCCTAGCCCCAAGCTTCAACTTTCACTGTGTACAGTTTAGTGGTTTTTAATCTATTCCTCAGCTTGTTATTCACCACCACTTGAATTCTAGAATGTTTGTATCACTCCCCATTCATCAGCAGTCCTCCACTGTCTCCTCTTACCAGCCCCTGGCAACTGCTTATCCTGGAATTTTTGTTTTATTTTATTTACTTTTTGGAGACACAGTCTTGCTAAATTGCCCAGGCTGGTCTCACTCACTACCTTCACTGCCTCCGTGTCCTCAGTGCTTGAGTTAAGCAGCGCACCACTGTGCCTGGTTTGTCCTGGCCATTTTGTATAAATGGGATCATAAGTACATTGCCTTTTGTGTGTGTCTTGCCTATTTCACTTAGTATATTTTCAAGTTTCATCCATGCTGCAGCATGCATTAGTATATTTTGTCTTTAAATGACTGATCATGTTCTTTTTTTTTTTTTTTTTTTTTTGGCAGAACCGGGGGTTGAACTCAGGCCCTTACACTTGCCAGACAAGCACTTATTCTACTGAGCCATCTCCCTGGCCCCACACAATATTCCTTTTTGAGGGACATTTATTTTATATATATGTACTGTTCATATATTTTGTTGTAAAGAATGTTGCCTCAATATCTTCATACCTCTAATTCATCTGTTCTCTTAGATCATTTCCTCTGAACAAATTTCCATGAGTAAGATTACTAGGTCAAAATGTAGGAATATTTTTACAACTTTTGTGGTGCCCGCAACTAAATGCAATTCTCAGTATATTCGGACAGAACAGGGTACTATTGGACTATTAAGTTTTCAAGGTCTAGACAACGTATCATCCTTTTTTTTTTTTTTTTTTCAGAACCGGGGATTGAACTCAGGCCCTTGTGCTTGCCAGGGTAGCGCTTATTCCACTGAGCCATCACCCCGGCCCCTCATATCATCCTTTAAATGAAGTAGCCTAAGAATTTATTAGCTTTGCTGGGGTGGAGTGGGGCAGTTACTATGCAAGTGTTACTCCCTGAGCCCTTGGATCTTTTCCTAGATGTTGTTTTGGTTTTGTTTTTGAGATAGGCTGTCATTATGTAGTCCTGGTGGGCTCACTAAATTGCCAAGGCCAGTGTTAAACTTGTGATCCTCTTGCCTCAGCCTTGCAGAGTGCTGCCTGTGATGACAGGCCTGTGTCACTACATCCAGTTTCTTAGGCACTGTGTCTTCAAAGTATAAGCGAATTTACTGTAAGGCCAGGAAGGTTTTAAAGATGCTCTGATAAGAATTTATTTCCTCTCTTCCTCAAGGAGACTGAGCGTGGAGTGTTCCACCCCTGAGCTACATCTTCACTCCCTTTGATTCTGAGCCCAGGTCTCATTCAGTCACGTGGGCTGGCCTCCGAGTTTTGATCCTCCTGATTCAGCCTCCAACCAAATAACTGGGATGATAAGCTATAGGCATGGAATACAAAACCAGGTTTGAATTGAATTTAGAATATCCCAGCCCCTCACCCACTGCCCAAGGATTGAATTTAGGGTCTTTGCACTGACCTACAGCCTTGTCTTTTTAAATTTTTTATTGTAAGACAAGTTATCCCTAAATTGCCTTGGTTGGCCTCAAACTCAAGATCCTCGGCCTCCAAGAGTGTTGGGTATTTTGTTCTTTTTTATTTATTTTTTTTAATTTTTATTTATTTGTGTGTGTGTGTGTGTGTGTGTGTGTGTATGTGTGGCCAGCTCAGCCCACCAGGGGGCGGGGCTGGCTGGCATGTGGTGCTGGGGGATTGAACCGTGGTCCTTGTGCTTTGTTTAGCTTAGCTTGTTCTAAGTAGGTGCTTTAGACTACTGAGCCATCTCACCAGCCCCAGGTATTTTGTTCTTTAGCAGTGGGTGCC